AGGAGGAAACACCAAGCCATTACGACTATATAGCACTTGGAAGGGGTCAGGATAAGGATTTGGGATGGGACGGGGGGAAGGAATGGTGTACAACCACTTAGACGGTCGAGGATTGAACTCCGACCTGCATGAATTAAGTGAGACCGTCGCTCTACCGTCCAGCCCATGTATGTGGTTGGGCCTGACAGCCCCCAAGTGCGCATGCCAAGGCACAGAGACATTCGTCACTGTCAAGATGTTTAGCGTGATGTCAAGAGAGTTCTCCACTAGCAAGTTGACAAACTTGTTGCTCCTCCTGTAGAAGCCTGTCAAGGCAGGCTGTCAAGGCAGGCTGTCAAGGCAGGCTGTCAAGGCAGGCTGTCAAGGCAGCCTGTCAACGCAACCTGTCAAGGCAGCCTGTCAACGCAACCTGTCAAGGCAGCCTGTCAAGGCAGCCTGTCAACGCAACCTGTCAATGCAGCCTGTCAACGCAGCCTGTCAAGGCAGCCTGTCAAGGCAGCCTGTCAAGGCAGCCTGTCAAGGCAGCCTGTCAAGGCAGCCTGTCAAGGCAGCCTTCTGGTTAGCGTGGCGAAGGTCACCTTTCCACCACTAATGTCTCCACGACACTTTCCTCAGTTTTGCGTCTCGCGGGAGAGAACTTGGAGCAGTTCAACACTCGGGAGAGAGTGTGTTGTGTTGGGTGTTCCAGCAACGGGTGTATGGGAGGGGCCTCGCTGCTGCTGCCGCTGCTGGAACACCCCAACACAACACTGGTTGTTCCACCTCGTGAACTACTCCATACTCAGACCCTGTGTCCCACCACACGCACCAGATTGATGAACTGAGTCCCGAGTCGTGAAGGACATTATTGATGGATCTGTGGTGCCACACAGTTGTGGAGTCTAACAGTGCCAGTGGTGTTTGGTCACTTACCAGTGGTGGTTAGGGGTCACTCACCAGTGGTAGGGTCGCCCACGCCGCCCCAGCTAGACCCAAGCTTTAACACATACAGATATGGCCTCTCTTTTATTTTTTAATTTACTTGAAAGTTGTAATGGTAGAGAGGAACAGAGGTCTACCTCCCTCCCACTCCTCTCCCATCCCCCTCCTATCCCACCACCTCCAACTCCCACCCCTGCCACCCCTCCTATCCCATCCCATAACCCTCCCCCTCCCACTCCCTCGGGGGGGGGGGGAGGGTGGGGGGAGGGGGGTGCCATCAAGCTGTTGTACTCCAATTCTTCTTGTGTTTTTGTCCAGTCGTTCGAGGGGCCTGGCGTTATGTGCGTGTGTCTTTAGTTTGTGTTTGTTGGTGTGTAGTTGTGGTGAGGCGCTGCCTAGCAACACTGCTCTACGAAGCCTAGCAACACTGCTCTACGAGGCCTAGCAACACTGCTCTACGAGGCCTAGCAACGCTGGTCTGCGAGGCCTAGCAACACTGCTCTACGAAGCCTAGCAACGCTGCTCTACGAGGCCTAGCAACACTGCCCTACGAGGCCTAGCAACACTGCTCTACGAGGCCTAGCAACACTGCTCTACGAAGCCTAGCAACACTGCTCTACGAGGCCTAGCAACACTGCTCTACGAGGCCTAGCAACACTGCTCTACGAAGCCTAGCAACACTGCTCTACGAAGCCTAGCAACACTGCTCTACGAGGCCTAGCAACACTGCTCTACGAGGCCTAGCAACACTGCCCTACGAGGCCTAGCAACACTGCCCTACGAGGCCTAGCAACACTGCTCTACGAAGCCTAGCAACGCTGGTCTGCGAGGCCTAGCAACACTGCCCTACGAGGCCTAGCAACACTGCCCAAGGTCTCGGCCCAAGAGAGTGCTGCTAGCAAATATATTTGAGTAATTCCTCGACTTGAAATGTCAACTCAAGTATTTAGTTTTCTCGTCAACCCTTCCGTCTGCTGCAACACTGTAAGTTATAACTCGAGGCTTGAGGGTGACGCTTCCGGGGCCGGCTACTGTCACAAGGTTCTCCTCAGCCTGGCAACCCCTGGCACCCCATGGCATCCCCTGGTAACCCCTGGCAACCCTTACTAACTCCTGGCAACCGATGGTAATCCTTGTCAAACCCTTCAATTCCTGGCAACCCCTGTCTACCCCTGGCACCCCCTGGCACCCCTGGCACCCCCTGGCACACCCCGGTAGCCCCTGTCACAAGCCGCGTGTCAAGGGGGACGTATCCAAACGCACTTAAGAAATGTGAAGTGTTGGAGAGCGTTCAGTAATTCCCAGTGATGGTGGTGGTGGAGACATATTACCCTGGGAGCCGGGCGGCGCCGCCACTCTAAATGCACATTTTAACCTGGTCCTAATACTCACAAGATATATATATATATATATATATATATATATATATATATATATATATATATATATATATATATATATATATATATATATATATATATGTATATATATATATAATTTTATTAAATATGACCGAAAAAGTAAGATTAATAATTCTAACACGAATTTTCTCTGTTTCTTATATTTCTTTTCACTGTTGATGGTAACTGAAAAATCAATTCTCCAAAATTCATTTTTATTTCTAGTCTGACGTGACACTTGAACGCGTTTCGTAAAACTTACTACATTTTCAAAGACTTTAGTTTACACACACACAACTATAACTGAACAGAGTTCAAACAGCTTCGATTTTATACCTGCATTTGGGTGAGGTGATATGTTACAACAGTTTTGGATGAGGTGAAAACAAACTTTCAACACAAGACAGAACACGAAAACAATGGGTATAATATTTTGTAAGTTAAAGGGAAGAATGGAAGTAACTGCAAAGGGCCTATTGGCCCATATTTCTTGATGCTTCTATATTGGTGCGGAGTCTTGAAGTGGGTAGAATATAGTTGTGCATTAATTGGCTGATTAATGCAGCCAATTAATGCACAACTATATTCTACCCACTTCAATGTTGGCTCAGAAAGTTCCTTGTTGCCACTTCCAAGAGTTTAGCTCTCCATGTATCTGCACCTCTGTGTGAGTCCCCATTCTCCCAGTCTATCTTTCCATGGTTGAAATCACCCATGATTAAGAGTCTTGAGCCATTCCTGCAGGCAACTGAAGCTGCTCTCTCTATTATATTAATGGTTGCCATGTTGTTCCTATCAAACTCCTGTCTGGGTCTTCTGTCATTTAGTGGAGGGTTGTAAATGACTGCCACTATTATCTTAGGTCCACCCATTGTCATAGTTCCTGTTATGTAATCTCTGAATCCGTCACAGTCTGGAATTTCCATCTCATTAAAACTCCAGTCCTTCCTTATCAGCAGGGCCACTCCTCTACCTCCTCTCCCTTCCCTCTCTTTCCTTACTATATAGTAGTCCTTTGGAAACACAGCATCTGTTATGACTCCTGACAATTTTGTTTCCGTGAGTCCTATTACATCAGGGTTTTCTTCCTGCGCTCTATCCGCCAGGTCACTTGCTTTATGAGTGCTTTGTGAGGTAGGCACCGTGGGAGTGTGAGGTAGGCACCGTGGGAGTGTGAGGTAGGCACCGTGGGAGTGTGAGGTAGGCACCGTGGGAGTGTGAGGTAGGCACCGTGGGAGTGTGAGGTAGGCACCGTGGGAGTGTGAGGTAGGCACCGTGGGAGTGTGAGGTAGGCACCGTGGGAGTGTGAGGTAGGCACCGTGGGAGTGTGAGGTAGGCACTGTGGGAGTGTGAGGTAGGCACTGTGGGAGTGTGAGGTAGGCACCGTGGGAGTGTGAGGTAGGCACCGTGGGAGTGTGAGGCAGGTACTGTGGGAGTGTGAGGCAGGTACTGTGGGAGTGTGAGGCAGGTACTGTGGGAGTGTGAGGTAGGCACTGTGGGAGTGTGAGGTAGGCACCGTGGGAGTGTGAGGTAGGCACTGTGGGAGTGTGAGGTAGGCACCGTGGGAGTGTGAGGTAGGCACTGTGGGAGTGTGAGGTAGGCACTGTGGGAGTGTGAGGTAGGCACTGTGGGAGTGTGAGGTAGGCACCGTGGGAGTGTGAGGCAGGTACTGTGGGAGTGTGAGGTAGGCACTGTGGGAGTGTGAGGTAGGCACTGTGGGAGTGTGAGGTAGGTACTGTGGGAGTGTGAGGTAGGTACTGTGGGAGTGTGAGGTAGGCACCGTGGGAGTGTGAGGTAGGCACCGTGGGAGTGTGAGGTAGGTACCGTGGGAGTACTATGGGCGCTGCTGGCTCTGTCATAGTAATGGAATACTCCCATTCTCTTACTGCTTAGTGGAGCGTGATCAATTAGGCTATTGTGCTTTTTCAGTTCTCGATGAAAAATAAAGTTTTTCCACTTCCTTGTTCAAAAAATGTTGTTGAAACTGTTGAAAGCCGATTAAAAAATTATCATTGAAAGTGAAAAGCTGAAATCAGAGCAGAAGCGTTTGTCATTTTCAGGCTCGAAGCTTCGTACTTTCGTTTACCAAAAACCGTATTTCAGACGTGTAAAAATGTCAATTACAACTGTCTGAAACATGTTTACAACTATGTTTCAGACGTGTAAAAATGTCTCAGACAATTACAACTGTCTGAAACATGTTTACAACTATGTTTCAGATGTGTAAATGATTCAATATTTAATTATATTAAAAACTATCATAAAATGTTTAAATTTAAAAATATTTTTAAGAGAGGTGACAGTGTCTCGATGTACCAGTCAGGGACATACACAACAGGTTAATGGACCAGTTGTAATTGTACCTTTGTGGGGGACTTACTTTCAGGTCATTTTGGACTTTTGACAGACGTTTTGACTCTGCCTGTTTCGAGTGCCTGTCATGAGTGCCAGTTAGTGAGGCACTGGTGCCACACTAACTGGCACTGGTGCCACACTAACTGGCACTGGTGCCACACTAACTGGCACTGGTGCCACACTAACTGGCACTGGTGCCACACTAACTGGCACTGGTGCCACACTAACTGAAATACACCCTCAGTAGCCACCACACGAGTGAGGTGGGTTCTGAGGGTGTATTTCCTGTATGTGATGTATACTAAGGTGTATATCTTCCCCCAGGGGCACCATGACTTCATCATGAGGGAGCGGGACGCCCAACTGACTATGGAGAGAGAGAAGCTGGAACTGGAGTGGCAGACCCGGATGGCTGAGCTGGAGAACAGGTGAATACTGCCCCCCTGGGGGAGGCTGGTGTGTGGTGACTACCCTGGGGGAGGTTGATGTGTGGTCACAACCCTGGGGGAGGCTGGTGTGTGGTCACAACCCTGGGGGAGGCTGGTGTGTGGTAACAACCCTGGGGGAGGTTGATGTGTGGTCACAACCCTGGGGGAGGTTGATGTGTGGTAACAACCCTGGGGGAGGTTGATGTGTGGTCACAACCCTGGGGGAGGCTGATGTGTGGTGACAACCCTGGGGGAGGCTGGTGTGTGGTGACAACCCTGGGGGAGGCTGGTGTGTGTGGTCACAACCCTGGGGGAGGCTGGTGTGTGGTGACAACCCTGGGGGAGGCTGGTGTGTGGTGACAACCCTGGGGGAGGTTGATGTGTGGTCACAACCCTGGGGGAGGCTGGTGTGTGTGGTCACAACCCTGGGGGAGGCTGGTGTGTGGTGACAACCCTGGGGGAGGCTGGTGTGTGGTGACAACCCTGGGGGAGGTTGATGTGTGGTGACTACCCTGGGGGAGGCTGGTGTGTGGTGACTACCCTGGGGGAGGCTGGTGTGTGGTCACAACCCTGGGGGAGGCTGGTGTGTGGTGACTACCCTGGGGGAGGCTGGTGTGTGGTGACTACCCTGGGGGAGGTTGATGTGTGGTGACTACCCTGGGGGAGGCTGGTGTGTGGTGACAACCCTGGGGGAGGCTGGTGTGTGGTGACAACCCTGGGGGAGGTTGATGTGTGGTGACAACCCTGGGGGAGGTTGATGTGTGGTGACAACCCTGGGGGAGGCTGATGTGTGGTGACAACCCTGGGGGAGGCTGGTGTGTGGTGACAACCCTGGGGGAGGCTGGTGTGTGGTGACAACCCTGGGGGAGGCTGATGTGTGGTGACAACCCTGGGGGAGGCTGGTGTGTGGTGACAACCCTGGGGGAGGCTGGTGTGTGGTGACAACCCTGGGGGAGGCTGATGTGTGGTGACAACCCTGGGGGAGGCTGGTGTGTGGTGACAACCCTGGGGGAGGCTGGTCACAACCCTGGGGGAGGCTGGTCACAACGCTGGGGGAGGCTGGTCACAACCCTGGGGGAGGCTGGTCACAACCCTGGGGGAGGCTGGTGTGGGGTCACAACCCTGGGGGAGGCTGATGTGTGGTGACAACCCTGGGGGAGGCTGATGTGTGGTGACAACCCTGGGGGAGGCTGGTGTGTGGTCACAACCCTGGGGGAGGCTGGTGTGTGGTCACAACCCTGGGGGAGGCTGGTGTGTGGTCACAACCCTGGGGGAGGCTGGTGTGTGGTGACAACCCTGGGGGAGGCTGGTGTGTGGTGACAACCCTGGGGGAGGCTGGTGTGTGGTGACAACCCTGGGGGAGGCTGGTGTGTGGTGACAACCCTGGGGGAGGCTGATGTGTGGTGACAACCCTGGGGGAGGCTGGTGTGTGGTGACAACCCTGGGGGAGGCTGGTCACAACCCTGGGGGAGGCTGGTGTGTGGTGACTACCCTGGGGGAGGCTGGTGTGTGGTGACAACCCTGGGGGAGGCTGGTGTGTGGTGACAACCCTGGGGGAGGCTGGTGTGTGGTGACAACCCTGGGGGAGGCTGATGTGTGGTGACAACCCTGGGGGAGGCTGGTGTGTGGTGACAACCCTGGGGGAGGCTGGTGTGTGGTGACAACCCTGGGGGAGGCTGGTGTGTGGTGACAACCCTGGGGGAGGCTGGTGTGTGGTGACAACCCTGGGGGAGGCTGGTGTGTGGTGACAACCCTGGGGGAGGCTGGTCACAACCCTGGGGGAGGCTGGTCACAACGCTGGGGGAGGCTGGTCACAACCCTGGGGGAGGCTGGTCACAACCCTGGGGGAGGCTGGTGTGGGGTCACAACCCTGGGGGAGGCTGATGTGTGGTGACAACCCTGGGGGAGGCTGATGTGTGGTCACAACCCTGGGGGAGGCTGGTGTGTGGTCACAACCCTGGGGGAGGCTGGTGTGTGGTGACAACCCTGGGGGAGGCTGGTCACAACCCTGGGGGAGGCTGGTGTGTGGTGACTACCCTGGGGGAGGCTGGTGTGTGGTCACAACCCTGGGGGAGGCTGGTGTGTGGTGACTACCCTGGGGGAGGCTGGTGTGTGGTGACTACCCTGGGGGAGGTTGATGTGTGGTGACAAACCTGGGGGAGGCTGGTGTGTGGTGACAACCCTGGGGGAGGCTGGTCACAACCCTGGGGGAGGCTGGTGTGTGGTGACAACCCTGGGGGAGGCTGGTGTGTGGTGACAACCCTGGGGGAGGCTGGTGTGTGGTGACAACCCTGGGGGAGGCTGGTGTGTGGTGACAACCCTGGGGGAGGCTGGTGTGTGGTGACAACCCTGGGGGAGGCTGGTGTGTGGTGACAACCCTGGGGGAGGCTGGTGTGTGGTGACACAACCCTGGGGGAGGCTGGTGTGTGGTGACAACCCTGGGGGAGGCTGGTGTGTGGTGACAACCCTGGGGGAGGCTGGTGTGTGGTGACAACCCTGGGGGAGGCTGGTGTGTGGTGACAACCCTGGGGGAGGCTGGTCAACCCTGGGGGAGGCTGGTCACAACCCTGGGGGAGGCTGGTGTGTGGTGACTACCCTGGGGGAGGCTGGTGTGGGGTCACAACCCTGGGGGAGGCTGGTGTGTGGTGACAACCCTGGGGGAGGCTGGTGTGTGGTGACAACCCTGGGGGAGGCTGGTCACAACCCTGGGGGAGGCTGGTGTGTGGTGACTACCCTGGGGGAGGCTGGTGTGTGGTCACAACCCTGGGGGAGGCTGGTGTGTGGTGACTACCCTGGGGGAGGCTGGTGTGTGGTGACTACCCTGGGGGAGGTTGATGTGTGGTGACAAACCTGGGGGAGGCTGGTGTGTGGTGACAACCCTGGGGGAGGCTGGTCACAACCCTGGGGGAGGCTGGTGTGTGGTGACAACCCTGGGGGAGGCTGGTGTGTGGTGACAACCCTGGGGGAGGCTGGTGTGTGGTGACAACCCTGGGGGAGGCTGGTGTGTGGTGACAACCCTGGGGGAGGCTGGTGTGTGGTGACAACCCTGGGGGAGGCTGGTCACAACCCTGGGGGAGGCTGGTGTGTGGTGACTACCCTGGGGGAGGCTGGTGTGGGGTCACAACCCTGGGGGAGGCTGGTGTGTGGTGACAACCCTGGGGGAGGCTGGTGTGTGGTGACAACCCTGGGGGAGGCTGGTGTGTGGTCACAACCCTGGGGGAGGCTGGTGTGTGGTGACAACCCTGGGGGAGGCTGGTCACAACCCTGGGGGAGGCTGGTCACAACCCTGGGGGAGGCTGGTCACAACCCTGGGGGAGGCTGGTCACAACCCTGGGGGAGGCTGGTCACAACCCTGGGGGAGGCTGGTGTGGGGTCACAACCCTGGGGGAGGCTGGTGTGTGGTGACAACCCTGGGGGAGGCTGGTGTGTGGTGACAACCCTGGGGGAGGCTGGTGTGTGGTGACAACCCTGGGGGAAGCTGGTGTGTGGTGACAACCCTGGGGGAGGCTGGTGTGTGGTGACAACCCTGGGGGAGGCTGGTGTGTGGTGACAACCCTGGGGGAGGCTGGTGTGTGGTGACAACCCTGGGGGAGGCTGGTGTGTGGTGACAACCCTGGGGGAGGCTGGTGTGTGGTGACAACCCTGGGGGAGGCTGGTGTGTGGTCACAACCCTGGGGGAGGCTGGTGTGTGGTCACAACCCTGGGGGAGGCTGGTGTGTGGTGACTACCCTGGGGGAGGCTGGTGTATGGTGACAACCCTGGGGGAGGCTGGTGTGTGGTGACAACCCTGGGGGAGGCTGGTGTGTGGTGACAACCCTGGGGGAGGCTGGTGTGTGGTCACAACCCTGGGGGAGGCTGGTGTGTGGTGACAACCCTGGGGGAGGCTGGTCACAACCCTGGGGGAGGCTGGTCACAACCCTGGGGGAGGCTGGTGTGTGGTGACAACCCTGGGGGAGGCTGGTCACAACCCTGGGGGAGGCTGGTGTGTGGTCACAACCCTGGGGGAGGCTGGTGTGTGGTGACACCCCTGGGGGAGGCTGGTGTGTGGTGACACCCCTGGGGGAGGCTGGTGTGTGGTGACAACCCTGGGGGAGGCTGGTGTGTGGTGACAACCCTGGGGGAGGCTGGTGTGTGGTGACAACCCTGGGGGAGGCTGGTGTGTGGTGACAACCCTGGGGGAGGCTGGTGTGTGGTCACAACCCTGGGGGAGGCTGGTGTGTGGTCACAACCCTGGGGGAGGCTGGTGTGTGGTGACAACCCTGGGGGAGGCTGGTGTGTGGTCACAACCCTGGGGGAGGCTGGTGTGTGGTCACAACCCTGGGGGAGGCTGGTCACAACCCTGGGGGAGGCTGGTGTGTGGTGACTACCCTGGGGGAGGCTGGTGTGTGGTGACTACCCTGGGGGAGGCTGGTGTGTGGTGACTACCCTGGGGGAGGCTGGTCACAACCCTGGGGGAGGCTGGTGTGTGGTGACTACCCTGGGGGAGGCTGGTCACAACCCTGGGGGAGGCTGGTGTGTGGTGACTACCCTGGGGGAGGCTGGTGTGTGGTGACAACCCTGGGGGAGGCTGGTGTGTGGTGACAACCCTGGGGGAGGCTGGTGTGTGGTGACAACCCTGGGGGAGGCTTGTGTGTGGTGACAACCCTGGGGGAGGCTGGTGTGTGGTGACAACCCTGGGGGAGGCTGGTGTGTGGTGACAACCCTGGGGGAGGCTGGTGTGTGGTGACAACCCTGGGGGAGGCTGGTGTGTGGTGACAACCCTGGGGGAGGCTGGTGTGTGGTGAAAACCCTGGGGGAGGCTGGTGTGTGGTGACAACCCTGGGGGAGGCTGGTGTGTGGTGACAACCCTGGGGGAGGCTGGTGTGTGGTCACAACCCTGGGGGAGGCTGGTGTGTGGTCACAACCCTGGGGGAGGCTGGTGTGTGGTGACAACCCTGGGGGAGGCTGGTGTGTGGTCACAATCCTGGGGGAGGCTGGTCACAACCCTGGGGGAGGCTGGTCACAACCCTGGGGGAGGCTGGTGTGTGGTGACTACCCTGGGGGAGGCTGGTCACAACCCAGGGGGAGGCTGGTGTGTGGTGACTACCCTGGGGGAGGCTGGTCACAACCCTGGGGGAGGCTGGTGTGTGGTGACTACCCTGGGGGAGGCTGGTGTGTGGTGACAACCCTGGGGGAGGCTGGTGTGTGGTGACTACCCTGGGGGAGGCTTGTGTGTGGTGACAACCCTGGGGGAGGCTGGTGTGTGGTGACAACCCTGGGGGAGGCTGGTGTGTGGTGACAACCCTGGGGGAGGCTGGTGTGTGGTGACAACCCTGGGGGAGGCTGGTGTGTGGTGACAACCCTGGGGGAGGCTGGTGTGTGGTGACAACCCTGGGGGAGGCTGGTGTGTGGTGACAACCCTGGGGGAGGCTGGTGTGTGGTGACAACCCTGGGGGAGGCTGGTGTGTGGTGACAACCCTGGGGGAGGCTGGTGTGTGGTGACAACCCTGGGGGAGGCTGGTGTGTGGTGACAACCCTGGGGGAGGCTGGTGTGTGGTGACAACCCTTGGGGAGGCTGGTGTGTGGTGACAACCCTGGGGGAGGCTGGTGTGTGGTGACAACCCTGGGGGAGGCTGGTGTGTGGTGACAACCCTTGGGGAGGCTGGTGTGTGGTGACAACCCTGGGGGAGGCTGGTGTGGTGACAACCCTGGGGGAGGCTGGTGTGTGGTGACAACCCTGGGGGAGGCTGGTGTGTGGTCACAACCCTGGGGGAGGCTAGTGTGTGGTCACAACCCTGGGGGAGGCAGGTGTGTGGTGACAACCCTGGGGGAGGCTGGTGTGTGGTGACAACCCTGGGGGAGGCTGGTGACACCCCTGGGGGAGGCTGGTGTGTGGTGACAACCCTGGGGGAGGCTGGTGTACAAGGGCCAGGTGTTGACCTCTGACCTCTCCAACAGGTACAAGGGCCAGGTGCTGACCTCTCCAACAGGTACATGGGCCAGGTACTGACCTCTGACCTCTCCAACAGGTACAAGGGCCAGGTGCGGCGGGCGACGGACGAGCTGGAGGTGGTGACGGCCGAGTGTGAGATCCTCAGACGACGAGTGACAGACTCCGGCGACGGCGAGGTGGCCCTCAAGGACCAGATGGTGGCCCTCGAGCGTGACCACGACCGACAGAGGCGAGAGTGGGAGGTGAGTGAGAGAGGCCAGTGGCCACCATTGTGGGGGGTAAGTGAGAGGGGCCAGTGGCCACCATTGTGGGGGGCGAGTGAGAGAGGCCAGTGGCCACCATTGTGGGGGGTAAGTGAGAGAGGCCAGTGGCCACCATTGTGGGGGGTGAGTGAGAGAGGCCAGTGGCCACCATTGTGGGGGGTAAGTGAGAGGGACCAGTGGCCACCATTGTGGGGGGTAAGTGAGAGGGGCCAGTGGCCACCATTCAGGCAGGGGCAGACAACCATTCAATTCCAATTCCTTGTTAAAATTATCAGGACACAATCTCACCATAAGTCTTCCGTCTCAGAAGCTCCACAATATCATTGTCTCAACGTAGTGATCAAGACAAATGGGGTCGTTCCCATTTCCAGCAATAATGTTGGTTAGGTTGGCCGTGATTGTGTCAGTGTTCACGCCCACACCCTCCTCCTCCTCCTCCTTGCTGGCCCTCACACAAACTTTCCTTGCTCTGGAACTGATTCAGAGGGTTCCCCAAATACCAAGATACGTTTAATTCCGTCATGCTTAACCACTTAGGGTGGAGGGTAGAGCGACGGTCTCGCTTCATGTAGGTCGGTGTTCAATCCGTGCCCAACCGTCAAAGTGGGTGGGTACCATTCCTATCCCCCATTCCATCTCAAATCCTTAATCACAAATCTCAACTAGGTCAGTACACACACACACACACACACACACACACACAAAATGCAAAAATTGCATGATGATGCAAAAATTATGAGGAGGATTGAAACACAGGATGATAGTAGGAGGCTACAAGATGACCTAGACAGACTGAGTGAATGGTCCAACAAATGGCTGTTGAAGTTCAACCCGAGTAAATGCAAAGTAATGAAACTAGGCAGTGGAAACAGGAGGCCAGACAAAGGATACAGAATAGGAGATGAAGTACTTAATGAAACAGACAGAGAGAAAGATCTAGGAGTTGATATCACACCACACCTGTCTCCTGAAGCCCACATAAAGAGAATAACGTCTGCGGCATATGCGAGGCTGGCTAACATCAGAACAGCGTTCAGGAACCTGTGTAAGGAATCATTCAGAATCTTGTACACCACATATGTAAGACCAATCCTGGAGTATGCGGCCCCAGCATGGAGCCCGTACCTTGTCAAGCACAAGACGAAGCTGGAAAAAGTCCAAAGGTATGCTACTAGACTAGTCCCAGAACTAAGAGGCATGAGTTATGAGGAAAGGCTGCGGGAAATGCACCTTACGACACTGGAAGACAGAGGAGTAAGGGGGGGGACATGATCACAACCTACAAAATCCTCAGGGGAATCGACCGGGTAAACAAGGATGGCAACACTGGAGGGACGCGAACAAGGGGACACAGTTGGAAGCTGAGTACCCACATGAGCCACAGAGACGTTAGAAAGAACTTTTTCAGTGTCAGAGTAGTTAGTAAATGGAATGCACTAGGAAGTGATGTGGTGGAGGCTGACTCCATACACAGTTTCAAATGTAGATATGATAGAGCCCAATAGGCTCAGGAATCTGTACATCAGTTGATTGACGGTTGAGAGGCGGGACCAAAGAGCCAAAGCTCAACCCCCGCAAGCACAATTAGGCGAGTACACCCACACCCCCTCCTCCAGCCCCACCATGCACAGGGTGAGGGAGGGGGGTCACGTTGCGCCGCGCTCGTTAATAAGGCTTTATATCTCGGGACATCAGAGGGATACACGGGAAATTCGGTGTTCAGTGATAATACAAAGTGCAACACACCACTTTGAAACTAGAAAACTTATGGATAGTGTCCGATAGTGTATATTAGACAAGATCAGGGGTACAACATCTGTGCCAGGACAAGCACGTGGGCCACTGATGGCCAGAGTGTACACAACTACATGTGATAAATTTTAAATTTTCTTAAATTTTGCCCCGAGGGGCGAGTTTATTGAGCAGCGCCACTCATCTTGTGAGTGGACACACTGCCATAGTGACAGTATTGGGCAGCGCCACTCATCCTGTGAGTGGACACACCGCCATAGTGACAGTATTGGGCAGCGTCACTCATCCTGTGAGTGGACACACCGCCATAGCAGCATGTACAACACTCCCCAATAGGAAGAAAACCCACTGGGTTGTTCATCCTGTCACTTGTACCAAGACACAGCTGGGACTTGCTTAACTGTCTCAAGTGAACAGCTCCTCAAACAAGAAGATTAACATTTATCAACCCTTAAAAGCTTACGTTATCTTGCGGGTGCAAAATGGGGAAATCTTTTAAGAACAGTATCAATATTTGACAAATAGTGTTTTCCTAACTCAAACAATGTGGGGTTTATTATTCTACACATATTCCTAATGTCTCTCAGGTGTTCACATTCACGTAGATAGTGGTCAAGGCGGTGTCCATCACTCTCACCACAGATTCTGCAACTCCGCTGCTCAACTGTTGTTTCCATTCCATATCTCCATGGATATTTGTATCCAAGACGGATTCTCGCTATTACTGATTCTCTCCCTCGTCCTCCTCCTCTTCGGCCATAATGATTGGAATTGCCAGCTGCAACCATGTTGTACCATCGTATAGATTCACTGGTTTGTGCTTCTATCCTCCTTTCCTCAGTTACCTTGTCACGGTGATGTTGCCTGACAATACCTCTAATTTGTAGTAGTCTTGGGTATGAAGTATTCAATATGGTCTCCTTCAGCGCCTTCAGCAGCCAGCACATCTGTTCGTTCATTCCCACATATTCCAACATGGGAGGGGATCCACAGAAACTTGATGACTCTTCCCTGATTCGTAAGTACTCTCACAGCTCTCTTAATTTCAGCGACTATTGCAATATTTTCTGCCCGATTTTTACTTAGGCTTTGCAGTGCTGCTTTTGAATCGGTGCAAATCACTGCACCATTAGTGTTCCGTTCAAGAAACCTTAACGCCATAACAATGGCAGTTAGCTCTGCTTGCGTTGAAGAGGCATAGTTCTCAATACGTGCTTTTTCTTCATTTCTGCATTGGAAAGTATTATCCTTGAGTACCGTGTATGCTGCACCAGCCCTGCCATTGACAGGATTAGATGACCCGTCAGTATAGATTTAATCGAGTTCATCTCCGGCTTCTTTATAAATTTCCTCTAGATACTTGTGCCTCATTTCCTGTGGTATCATGTTGGATTTTTTCGTTGCCATTTCATTGATGATAATCTTGCATGAGTCATCCTCCCAGGGAGGTAACCTCTCTACAGGCAGGAGCTCACGGGCTTACTAAAGCAGGTGAAGTTCTTCCAGGTAGCAGACTGATCTGTGATGCCATTTTTTGCTTCTCCTGTTTCCCCCTGAAAGTAGCACAGAGCTCAGTTTTTTCTTAGCAATATCATTGTAATGGGGATCTCTGGCTATCCTAATTGCAAGCTTAGCATTCAGCTCCTTAATTCTGCTTTTAACACTGGGAAGGGACAACTCCTCTCGTAGATTAGACATTTTGGCAGTTCTTGGAACTCAAGAATGATTGTCATGGCTTCATTTTGAATGCTTTCAAGCCTTTTTATATCGCTTTGGGAATAGGTGCACAGAACTGGTGCAGCATAGTCTATGACGGAGCGCACATAGGCTGCGTACATCATTTTAAACACGGCAATAGAGGCTCCATGTCCATTCCAGGTCATAGCTTTCAGTGCCCTGAGTCGACTTTTGCATGTTCCTATGAGTTGATCGAGCTCCTCTTTCTTTCCCTTGTTAGAGCCGACAGTGACGCCAAGGTACCGATAGTGGTCAACCCATTCAAGTGTTACACCATTAATTTGCAGTTCTTCATTTGCTCTCCGCTTGTGATGGGAGTATGCCTTCGTCTTGTTTGTGGAGAGAGTGAAACCGAGCTCAATACATTTCCTTCCAAGGAGTTCAGTGGACTGTTAAATTTTTCCCAAGGTGGGAGCTTGTATTAGGACATCTGCATATCCCACTTGTTGTGTTCCTTCCGGAAAATCAATATTTGCAATGGCGTTCATAAGTACATTGAATAGTGTAGGGCTTAAGACTCCGCCTTGGGGAGTCCCGAGTTCCATATTCATTGTTCTGGAGACTGCTCCATTGAAGCAAACCTTGGCTTTCCTTCCTGTGAGGTAGTCTTCAACCCATTTCATGAGTCTCCCCTTGACACCCATGCATGCAAGCTCGTCCAGGATCGCAATCCCCTGTGCTTTGTCGAAGGCTCCTTTGATGTCAACAAATACAGAGTACCTAGCCGTGTCATTAGCCAAGTAATTAACTATACAATTTGCTGTGCTCCGTCCTTTAACAATCCATTGACCCCCTCCCCTAACCTGCCTATTTTGTGCAACAGTCGGTTTAGGATGATCCTTTCAAGCATCATGCAAGTGCATGACACGAGACTGATAGGTCTGTAATTACCAGGGTCATTAGGCTTTGGTATGGGAACAATTATTGCGTGTTTCCATTGTGTGGGCAACACTCCACTTAGGAATGACTTGTTAAACAGGTGGAGTAGTGGATTCCCAGACACTTCACACAGTGCATTGAGTATGTCGTAGGTGACGCCATCTTCACCAGGTGCTGTACTTTTACCCTTTTTCATAGCGCCCCTTACTTCGTGGGCTGTGATTGGTTCCCCATATTCGTCATCACTAGACAGTGCTCTTGTTATCCTAATTCTTCTGTCATCATGTCGCAGGAGCTGTTCCCTGCTGATTTCTGCAGGGAGGGAGGAGGAGGATGCTGCATCACTCCACTTGTGAATTAGTTCCTCAGCCTTACCCTGGGGGTCTTTGTGAGCCGCAGGCGGGGCTCTGCCACCCTTAGCTATCTATATTTTTGCCCACACTTGTCTTGCAGATGTTTCCCGTCCAATAGAGCTAGTGAACTCATGCCATTGTCTTTCCCGCTCTTTAATCTTCTCTTCCCTGGCCATTTGACACACAGTTTTAAACAACTCTTGGTTTCTTTCAGTGGGATGTCTCCGGTACTCTCTACTCATGTCTCGCACATTTCCG